GTGCAACATATTGGGATATATGGATCTATTCTAAACTAGATAGAACTCTAGTGAATGGACTGTGCATAGGGCAATGTAATCAATCTATGACACCTGTTTTGAATGAAGGAGTACCAGACCATTATCCCTTCTAGTGTAAATGTAGGTAGAAATGGTTAGTAAGCCAAAACCCTATAACTACTTCAAAATGCGGACACAAGACCCTCATTACACTGAGTTAGTTGAGAAATGTTGGAGGGATGACATAGAGGGTACAATGATGTTTAAAGTGGTGAGAAAGGTGAAGAAATTGAAAAAAAAAAACTGAAAAAGACTCATTCGAAAAAATTTCTCAAAAATCCAAGTGAGAGTTCAGCGGGCACAGGAAGCTATGATGTCTCTATAGCAACAACTGACAGTAAGTCCTACGTACGAAGATATGCAGAAAGCTGAAAGAGATGCAAATAATAATTTCATTGCTTACATTAAAGCATATGAAAGTTCGATGAGCCAGAAGATAAAGGAAGATCGGATCAGGGAGGGAGATATTAATAGCAAATTCTTCCATTCCAAGCTCCAACAGAAAAAGATGAGGAATAGAATATAGACTATCACTGAAGAAAGAGGAAACATAATCAAGGATTGGAGAGCAATTGAGGAGCCTTTTATCAAGTTTCCAAAATTAATTAGGACAGAGAAAACTTCAAAGCCACTTCAGGCAGGAGGTGTTCAAACAAGGACCAAGGTTAACTTTGGAAATGCTAATGCAGATATGCTCCCATGTAACTAGAGAGGAAATCAAGAATGCTTTATGGAGTATAAACATCAACAGAAGCCCTGGACCAGATGGCCATGGCAGTGATTTTTTCAAATCCACATGGAGTATCATAGGAGAAGAAGTCACCTGAGCAGGTCAAGAATTCTTTGAGACTGGTATGTTACTTACACAAATTAATTCTACTGTACTAGCACTGATACAAAAAAATTAAAATGCATGTAATGCTAGTCAGTTTAGACCTATTGCTTGTTATAATGTGCTTTATAAGAACATAACTAAAGTGATGTGCAATAGGTTTGAAAAAATTGCTGCCTGTTGTTATTGATGGAATCAGGTGACTTTTGTAGAAGACATGCTTATCATTCATAATATCCTGATCATTAAGTAACTTATGAGAATATAAAGGAGGAAATGAGTGTCTGGGAGATGCATGTTGAAGGTTGAGTTACAGAAACACATGCTTTTGTAGAATGGGACTTTGTGAAATAGTGTTTGAGAGGATTTGGATTCCCAAAAAAGTTAACTAGATGGGTAATGGCTTGTGTTAGGAGCTTTTACTTTATGTATAAACAGGGCAAATGTTGGGTACTTCAATGGTGAAAGTGGATTGAGACTGAGTGATCCAATGTCTCCCTTCCTATTTGTTCTAGTAATGAAATATTTTACAATAGAGCTAAAGGAAGTAGCTGCTCAACTTGGTTATCGTTTCCATCCCCTGTGTAAGAAGTTAAGATTGATTATTATTTGTTTTTTGGATGGTTTGATGATTTTTCTACAAGGCTGACCTGCTTCCTATAACAAGTATTAAAGATACTTTTAATGAGTATTCTGATACCTCTGGATTGCAAGCTAATCTTATGAAATAGGATATTTATGTTGGTGGAGTAAATGAGCAAAATAAAACAATAGATTTGCAGCCTGAAAGGTTTTAAAAAGGTAAATCCCCCATAAAATATCTTGAAGTACCTGTTTCTACAAGGAAATAGAATCAAGTGGAGTGCCAAACTTTGGTTGAAAAGATTACTAACAGACTTAAATGTTGGAGCACCAGACATTTTGGTAGCTTTATGACAAGCCGTCGTCACACTAGTCAAATATTAATTACCTATTTAATACAATTACTAGTAGTAAAGCAGAAAGCAGGGTCGATCCCACAGAGAAGGAATACTAATTACCAGGTATAAATTACTCCTAATATTATCTAGATAAATGATGATCTGAGAGTTATAAAATTTAAAATTAAACTAAATAAAATAAAAACAAATAATATTAATTCAAATAATTAGACAAAGGAAACCTAGGACATTGGGTTCACCTACCGAATATTTAGTTTAGTTCAATTCATAAGTATTTGACTTTTAACTTCCATTAATCTCACAAGGATTCACCTAATTAAGAACTATTCACTCTCGTGTTATAATTCTCTTACTTAGATTAACCCTATGACTACTCTCGTGACTATAGGGATTAACAAAAGCACATTAAGACCATTAAGAATCAAATATTGCAAAGGTTATAATCTTACTTTCGTAGCTTATAACCTAAGTTTATTATTCCTACGAACTAATACTAATCTTCCACTCTCGCTACTTCAATTAGTATCTTCAGACATGTAAATAGTGGCCAATTACTTACACGAATTAAAACAAGAATAACAAATATTAATTAATGGAAAAATCAAATAATAATGAACCAAATAAACTAAATAAATTCGGTGGCTACACCCAAGCCCTAGATTAAAAGAATTTAGCCACTAAACATTATTAACAATAATTCAATAATATTTAGAGACATAATAAAAAAAATAAATTAAATAAATTAAAACTTCAAAACCCGCCAAAACTCCCCTCGGTTGCTCGCTTCGCCGGTGCTGCGTCAAGTGATGATGGAGAAGGTGCTGCTGCTGGCTTTCTCGGCGTGAAGAGGCAGAGGTGGTTCAGGGAAGGCTCGGTGTTCCTGCGTGGATGTGTGCGGCTTGGTGGTTTATGGTGTGGTGGTGCTGCGCGAGGGTGGTGGCTGCCGGTGAAGGAGGAGCTGCGTGGTGGTTATGGAAGCAAAGCGGCGGTGATGATGCTGCCGGTGAAGGAGGCTGTTGCGTGGCGTTGGGGCTGGGATGGTGTGGTGTTTATGAGGAAGGCGGAGAAGATGGTGATGGAGGTGTAGGGTTCGGTGGTTTTCGGTCAAGTTTCGGTTCAGTTCTGTTGTAAAAATAAATCCCTAATCTTCCTTTTATAGGCTTCCGGCTAAACCGTACTCCTTGAAGAACAAGAAAACTTGTTTCCCAATTAATATCGGGATTAAAATTCTTATCCAATTCCAATCCCAAATCGGCCGCATAACCATAACCTTCTCGGCCAATTTTCCAAAAACTTAATTAAACAATCTAAAATTGCATCATTGGCCCTCCAATTCTCTAAACTCATTAATTTCCTCCCCATCAATTGCTCCAATCTTTAATTTTTTCCCATTGAGTTGCTTTTAATTCGATTTTAGCTCAAAACTTCAACAATTCGTCATTTGAGTGCAATTCCTACAATTAAAGATAAAATCACATAAATAGCATATTTGTACTCAAAATATATTGCAAAAATCACAAATTAAGGATATAATAAATAGGTAAAATATAAGCATATCACTTTAAAGTAAAAAAGACAATTTATAGGTCAGATGGACACATGAAGTGTATTTAAGAAATCAAAGTATCTGGGAAGTACAAGGAAAAGATGATAACAGTTTGGCACTGGAAGCAGATAATTAAGATAAGAGATAAAGCAAAAAGGGGTTTTGATTGTGGGAAATGGCTAAGCAATAAGAAGGGAAGACACACCATCACCTCAGGGTGTTATGGTTACAAAAACCAAGTGAAAGAATGGCTGATGCCCATCTGATTTGGTCAAGACTTAATCTTCCTAAGCATGCTTTCATCACATAGCTTATTTGGAAGGGTAGAGTTTTGACTCAGGACAATATGATCCAAATGAGTCTTCTTGTACAGGACATAAGGTGCTGCTTATGTGGAGTGCATGATGAATCAATTGATCATTTGTTCTTTGAATAAGATTTTTCTTCTGAATTGATAAAGAAGGTTAAGAATGATGGGCGTAAGGATATCCAGTGTGAGACAATGGAAATGGAGAAAGGAACTACAGTTTATATGGAGAAAGGTAAGGCTAAAGAAGCAAATACTGCATGCAGTTATCGTGACTTGCATCTGCTGTTTATGGGAGGAAAGGAGTGGCAGGACATTTAACATTCAACAGAAAACAGTGGAAGATATATCTCAAGAGGTACAAAGAGTGATAAAAATTAGAACTTATCAATGCAAAAAGACCAGAACGGATAAGGAGAAAGGCATCTTAGAGCAAACTATTTACTTAGTTATTTATTTATTTGATTCTTTTGCTGAAATTTTGCTTTGTATAAATAATGGATGTCAATAGTGCAATTTTGATAGGAAATTTGAATCTAAATACTCTATCCAAGCAAATAAATATGAAAAAGGGACAAAAATTCCCCAGTTATGTCTTAAAGACTAATAGTATCGTCACTTTTCCTATAAGAACAATTACCCTCCTTGACCGTTAGACAACGGCATAATTGACCCCCTTGAGGGCAAAAATGACAAAAAAATATGTATGTAATGACTAAAATACCCTCTTCACCTAAAATAAATTTTTTTATGGACAAATTCTACCTTTTTTAAAAAACCTATTTTGTTCAACAAATCGTCACAAGATTTATTTAAGGATAAGACATTTACCAATTTTTATTAAAAAATTAATTTTTTTGAAAAAAGAAATATTATAATAAAAACCATTGGTTTTCATAACAATGGACAAATTCAAAACATGAGTAATGTTGAAATATGATATTTTTTGGCATAAATTATATCCTTTTTGGAAAACAAAAGTCAACCATAATAAATTAATTTTTTACTAAAATTAATTTTTTTAAAAAATTGTTCCTAACAAATATCAGCGAATATTGTTATTGTGAAATAAATTCTTCAATGAGTTGTTAAACAAAATAAGCCATTAAAAAAAGATAAAATATAGATCAAAAAATTTATTTTTTGGCGAAAAGGATATTTTTGCTATTACACACATATTTCTTATCATTTTTATTCTCAGAGGGGTCAACTATGCTGTCGAATGGCAGTCAAGGGGCGCAATTGTCCCCGTAAGAAAAGTGTGGTATGAGTTTTTGTCTTTCTTCCATAAAATATTTACAGTGTTAAAAAAACAAAAATCAAAGAAAATTTGGATTTACTTTTTACCCGCTGATCCAATATTAGGCCCGGAAAAGTATGTGACCCATTTGGCGGACCATTCAATACGTCTACTCTTGTAATTGTTGTGGGAAACAAAGCTTTAAATTACTCTTCGCTCTTAACTACAAAGAAGAACCTCGTTCTCATCGACACCAATTCTCCTCAAATCCAACTACATTCTCACCTAAATTATTCGCAATTTCCTCTCCTCTCCAGCATTTCCTTCTGGTTCTTCAACCGCATATATTGCATTTCCAGGTTGTTCTTACATTGATTTCTCATCCCAGATTCCATATTACGATATTCTCCCATTCGGCCAATTTCTTAACTTGTATTTGTTTTTTTTTTTTTGTATTGATTGTAAGAATAGAAGAGGAGAGAGGCTTTCAATTGTTGATTGATCTCTGGAATGGATTCTGCAGCCATGGCCTCTGTTTGCTGTAAATCCCTTTGCTCCACTACTCGCCCTGCTCCAGTAAGTGTTCACTCTTTTCTTTTTCCGATATTGCATTTTAGTCAGGAATCCGGAGGTTTTGTTTGACGGGTTCGTTTCAGATTTCAGCCGTTGTGATTGAAAGTTAACTGAGACCCACATGCTGTATGTATTTCAAGTTTGTATCTTCTCTTCCGGTTTTGGATGTTGAGCTGAAATCGTTGTTTTTGCATGTTTATCTAGAATTTCGTCACCTGTTTATTAAAGCTGCATTCTTTTGCAATGGCTCTTGCCTTCTGTTTTTTATTTTTAAGTTATGCTGATGGACCGGACAACTTGAATCTACTTTTTTGATTAGTTATTGAAAGACAATGTTCAGTTTTAAATGTAGATTAGAAAACTCTTATGTGATTTCCAGGAGTCAAAGATGATTTTTTTGCCAAAGTGAACCCGAAATGACTATTTTCTAAGTTTTAATTTATATAACAAGTGGGAGAGTTGAATATTGTTCAAAATGTATGCATTGTGAAAGACAATAACTTAGCACATGTGGCTTTCTTTTGTATTTGAACCTTCTCCAAGTAGCATTACTTGTTTTGCTCCAAGGATGAGTATAAAATGGGCAAATTTATGAATAATAAGAATATGAACCGCTTTCTACCAGTCTGTTGTACTTTATCATATTTGTTTTCATGGTTTACTCCTTTAAGTTGCTGACTACTCTCTGTTAGGGATTAATTACCGGGCCAACGAGCGGAATAAGGAGTTCGCAATGTAGCTTTATGGTAGGAAAGAAGGTGCAGTACCCTCGACAGAGTGCTCGATCTTCTAGGCTGGCATCTAAATCTGGTAAACATGGTGGAGCATTAGCCGCCACATGTCGTGCTGATAAAATCCTCATTGCAAATAGGGGAGAAATTGCTGTCCGTGTCATCAGAACTGCACATGAGATGGGAATTCCTTGCGTGGCTGTTTACTCTACTATAGATAAAGATGCTCTACATGTTAAACTGGCAGATGAATCAGTTTGTATTGGTGAAGCTCCAAGTAGTCAATCGTAAGTTACTAAACATTCGTTTTAATATGTCTTATGTTAGTGGCTAATGAGTTAGTCACCTTTCTTTCCTGCTTTAGCAAGCCTAAGCTATAAGCATACAATAATTAGCTTGATGGTCATTTGAAACATCTTGCACTCTGTTTCTCATAGTCACTTAAGATGCTAGTTATAGCTACTGGAATTCGGTATTCAAATCGATTGTTACATGCTGCATTGCTCATCTCGACTGTGGTAATGTCCTGTCTCATTGCTGTGTTTTGTTAGCTTAATGTGCTACAACCCTGCATATTTAGAATATGGAAAGAAGAAGCATGCGATTTTGATGTCATATTTGAGTTGTACCCTCTGCTTCTATAGACAGAAAGGGTTATTCAAAAGTGCATGCGCGTGCGCGCGCGCGCGTGTGTGTGCGTGCGTGTATGCACGTGCGTGTGTTTATGCCTGCGTGTTTTGTTTTAATTTATTTATTTATTTTTGTTTTGGGATATTTCACTTGCTTATTCTTGCGTGTTGGCTAAGTCGTTTTGTGTTTCCTTTTGTTTTTCTGTACATGTATTACAATGACTAGTTTATTATAAGTTTACTTCTGTTGTACATACTTCATTATAAGTTCAAATTTGTTATCATTTTTCCAGTCCTCAACTTCTAAAGTTAGAAATAAGTTTATAAAAAGCATTCGAACTTCTGTCGTATGTTTAAAATTCGTATTTGTCTTGTCCTTATTATAATTATGTCATGGAAAAACAAACAAGAGCACTGCTACATAGAATTCACTATAGAGTCAATGTCGACGCATGTTTCCGTTTTGTAGTTTACTCAATGGATAATTTGGATTGTCAGATTCAAGGCTGAAGCGAACAGTTGATGTTCTAGTTGCTCATGTAATCCTTGAATATCGCTATAAACTTATCATTCAGAACTTCCTTTTGATCTTAGATAAGGCTTTTCTGATTGACTTAAGCAAATTCCTTAACTTTTTATTGTATGGTTACTGTCTAACTACATTCCATAGAAAATGCGTATTGTAACTAACGGAAGTTGAGGCAGAATTTAGATTACGAAACTAAGGATGTCTCTACCATTGATCTTCTTGCACTTGCTAAGCTGTCTAATTAATATTCATGTCCAAATTAACCATGATCAGCCACCTGGATCTTGGGTAACACCCATAGATCTGATGAGTTGATGAATCTGATTTCTATGAAGGAAGAAAGAACTCTCACCTAGCTTCAACGACCACCAACATCTATTAATATTGTACGTTGTTACCGAGTAAAAACCTAAACACAGTTGAGCTACCAAAGAAAGCAATCAGCTGTTGTGGATTTATTCTCTCAGAGAGAGCTAGGTTGTCAGCTAGATGTTAATTTGTGATAGCTTGATTAGAGTAGAAGGTTTGTTCGACTTCTTAGTACTGTAGGCTGATTGATAGTCATGCTTACCTAATGGTGGACGTAAATAACTGCTTATGTGGAGAAGGTTTAGTTAGAATTTGATCTCTTGGTGGTGACTATTGGCCAGAGAAAGTTTTGTTAGAAGTTTGAAATAATTTTATAATCTTTGTTTAATATGTGAATTGTGTGAAGAATACATCCTGACACTTGCTAATTACATTTATTCCAGGAGTTGTTTTGTGTGTTCTTTTGAAGCGTAAATAGGATCCTATTGATGCCCTTAAGTTGCATTTTCCACAATTTATTTTTGTTTGATATCTACTTTGCAAGGACATATGAAAATGGCATAATGTACTCATACATCAGAAGATAATTCTTGAAAATGGAAGAGGAAATCATTTGGATTCTAGGAGATAAATGGTTACTTTAGGTATTAGAAGGAATAATATGCGAGAACCACTGAATTTAGGCTCTAGACAGATGTTTAGGGAATTAGAAATGTGAAGGTTAATCAACAGAAGTGTTTAGTAACTAAAAGTAGGTAAGCAATCTATGAGAGATGATATCAGCATTGTTGCATGGGATTGTCATGTTTCTTAAGTTTGGGCGCCACCTTCAGCTTCTTTATCTTTTCACTTCCCCAATGTTCAATGCTTCTAATTCTCTCTAGATGTTACTGATTGTGACCCCTTCATTTATTTCCTTGACGTTCTTGCAGGTACCTGCTGATTCCAAACGTCTTGTCTGCTGCCATTAGTCGTGGATGCACAATGCTTCATCCAGGATATGGTTTCCTTGCTGAGAATGCTACTTTTGTTGAGATGTGCCGAGAACATGGAATCAATTTTATCGGGCCAAATGTAAGTTGTTTGAACGATGAAACACGAACTAAATATTTTTGCCATAATATGAGAGCTTGTTCCACGAGCTAGTTCTATACCTCGTTTGTGACTGCTCAAATTTTATCCATGGATGTACCAAGTATTCAAATTAATAAATGACTCTTAGATAGAATAAATCTTATGACTCTAAATAAGCATCAAGCACATATGGTTGAACTAAAGTTGTCCTGGAGAGGCACCTTCACCATTCTTCGTAAACAAATGAAAGTAATATTTTAAAACATATGATATATTTCGCTATCATTGATAAAAGCTTTTAATCCCTTAAGCTTTCTGATTGTTTCTATAATTTAATAATCATGTCTGATGTACATTCCTGCTTGCTTTATGAGTTACAATATTATTATTTAGTGGATTCTGTATGAATATGTCGTCAACACCTGATACCATGTTGCCTGAATAGCGACTCTTAAATCTCTCCAGTTGTGTTAGAGAAAATTGCTTCGTCTTGCATTTTAGATGACGATCAGGCCTTTCAAAAATTCATTCACTTTGGGCAGAGCCACACTTATATGGAGTTCCATTTGCACAGTGAAATACAGAAAGCTTAAATGTGAATGAATGAAAACCACTCATTTGGGTTTACGGGAAAAAAAAGCCACTTATTGGGCTGATACTTGGCTGACATTAATCTTGATCATAGCTTATCTGTTAGCATTTTGTTTGGATATTTCAGTTCTGTAGCCCAATTTTAAGACTGCATCTAGACACAAGCTGCTTCGTAAAAGCATATTGATCTGTTTCAAAATCATTATATTTGATTCTAAAATCGTGCAGCCTGACAGTATCCGAGTCATGGGTGACAAATCAACAGCCAGGGAAACAATGAAGAATGCTGGTGTTCCAACTGTGCCAGGAAGTGACGGTTTATTGCAGGTATTACTTTCAATGATTAGAGATATAGAAATGAAACTTATTTGAATAAGGTCTTACGCTTTTGGGCTTACCTGGTACTCTTCATTTGTGTGTTTTGTAGAGTACCGAAGAAGCTGTAAGGCTTGCTGAAGAGATAGGATACCCAGTAATGATCAAGGTATGGGTATATTTATTTTAGCCACATGCACAAATATGGAAAACTTTGGCCAAAATTTGTTTAGTGGAATTTGATTTGTAGATACAGGAAAAGTTGTCAGATTTACATCTACTATTCATGATTGCCTCATTGCATTATTAAGAAACGTAAAATCCATAGTGTTTGCTCTGTTAACAATGAATGAAAATGCAAATTTAACAGTGTTCTTTGTTTGGCTCCCTAGAAGTCATTTAGTGTTGGATAACCTTATTACTTAAAACATGTAAGTATTGTCCGTGATTTTGACTTCAGTTAGCATAGCTAGCCTGTTAATGGTGATATGATATTTATGCTCGATAAAATGTACAGAAAATGCATGATATCCTTTGAGCTTATGTCTGGATCTGTTGTATTTGAAGGCTACAGCTGGTGGTGGAGGACGTGGAATGCGGCTAGCTAAAGAGCCTGATGAATTTGTGAAGTTGTTGCAGGTACCTTTTTGTTCCCCTAGTATAACATGCTTGACATCCCTTTTTTTTTTTTTTAAATTGAATTCTGGCATACATGAAAGAATGTCTATTGCATTTGTTGGTTACTGAATTTCAATGCATCCTTGTCTGGTTTGGATAGTAATAACAATACAATAGAAGTCCTCTACTGAACTTTCATTTTCTTGATTCTGACAGCAAGCTAAGAGTGAGGCAGCAGCTGCTTTTGGGAATGATGGAGTTTATTTGGAGAAGTACATTCAGAACCCAAGGCACATTGAATTCCAGGTATCATGAGTGGGTAGTTTGTTTTGTATGTAATAAGCATGCATACGCATAAATCGCCATGATTTGGTTTTTTAGCAGCCCAGCTGAATGAAGATTGAGTTTTATTCTTTGGTTTTATTACTGGCTGATCCTGTGTTTGACACTTATTTCGAGTAGCCTGCTTGTAGATGTGATGATGCCTTGTAAAATAAAATCCGCGTTGAATCTTCGCTTGTGGCAGACCACAGCACGTTGATTGACTTCTGAATGACTTTTTTAGATTTATTGTAACACCAATTTTTATAAACAACATTATCTATGATCTTTAGATGATTTGTAGAACTTCTCCACTGGCCGATCATAATCATATTTGTGTGTTTCGGAAGTAAACTAAGATGTCCATCTCAACGGAAGCATATGAATGGCATTTTTTCTGTAAATTCACTTTCTGCCTAAGTTATCTTTGCTATGCCTCTATAATTTATGAAGTGTATTACATTTCTACTCCCTTTTTTCGTACTAATTCACAATATAGCATAGGTAAACTAGCTGTCATACAGTGCAGTTTACTTATATTTCTTATATATACCTGTCACATTCCGGTGGCTTTTGGTTTCACAGGTTTTGGCTGATAAATACGGCAATGTTGTGCACTTTGGTGAGCGTGATTGCAGTATTCAGGTACTTTGACAATCACGATTTCTTCTGCATGACCTTCTTTTCAATAGGTTAATGAACTTGTATCAGAGTTATTTGGGGAGAAATATTCAAGTACCTAAATGTGTTTCTTGCAGAGAAGAAACCAGAAGTTGTTGGAAGAAGCTCCATCTCCTGCATTAACACCAGAATTGCGTAAAGCAATGGGTGATGCAGCAGTTGCTGCTGCAGCATCTATTGGTTATATCGGGGTTGGTACCATTGAGTTCCTTTTGGATGAAAGGGGTTCCTTCTACTTCATGGAGATGAATACTCGAATTCAGGTGAGAGGTGGCCGTAGATCCATGGAACAAAGTTCACGCAGATTTTTTGTTGTTTAAGAATGTCAGTCATCTCTTCTAAATCTTTGAAAATCTTAGGTTGAACATCCAGTGACAGAAATGATTTCCTCTGTTGACCTGATTGAAGAACAAATTCGAGTGGCTATGGGAGAGAAATTGCGTTACAAACAGGTGAAATTATGTTTATAAAATGCTCTTAATAAATGCATGATCTGATCTTTTTCTGTGCTAATTATTATTCCCTGTCGCAACAGGAAGATATTGTACTGAGAGGACACTCTATTGAATGCCGTATCAATGCAGAAGATGCTTTCAAAAACTTCAGGCCAGGGCCAGGTTAGTTGCGTATGAGATGTTTCCATACTTGTTTTTGAGCATATTCTATTTGCACATGATCGGATGTCCGGCAATCATCCATTTCGGTTCATATGCTCAAAAATTTCTGTCTGTAAAAACTTCTGATTTCTCCTGTGAGAAAGTGTGCCTAGCAGAGGTTAGATGAACACCTGTATGATTGAACTTTCGGAAACTTATCTTATTTTGCTGAAAACAGGGAGAATAACAGCTTACTTGCCAGCTGGAGGTCCATTTGTACGTATGGACAGTCATGTTTATCCTGATTATGTGGTTCCACCAAGTTATGATTCCTTGCTTGGAAAGGTTAGTAACTACAGATGTTATGCAGAATGGTCACAATTGATAGGCCCCTGCATCCTTTCCTCAAGTTGCTTTTTCTAACATGTTGGTGCTTTTCTGATGATGGATACTGCTATAAAAATTAGATGTTAGATGCTCTGAATCTTAGTTTTCACTTTTCTATTATTTAGACTGCAAAAGGACTACAGTAGCACAAAGTAAATAATGCATCGTGCACTTTTTCATTGCTGAACTTCTAAGGTTATCATAAATGTGCAACATCCATTGGGAGCTTCTATGCATCTGAACTGAAATTCAGAATCATATACTTTGAAATGTAATGAAAACCTAGCACAGGGAGCATAACAACCAAAAGTCTAATATGGTACGATGTCCTTCCAACAACTTGAAGTTGAAGCTGTAGAAGTGAGAATGAATGGAAAATGTCAGTTATGCTTAAGTATTTATTGATTCTAAGATTGGATTACTAGATTATAAAGGTCCTTGACTCCCAGGAATTGATTCGAAATATGCTAAATGATATACATGTCGTAAATTTATAGCAATCTGAAATTGCAATGATGGACAATGTACTACCTACTGGAAACACTTGATGCCTTTGATTCAGTGCACAACTATCATTTTAGTTCATTGACTTTCATTGCTGGATATTTCTCACATGCCTATTGTATACTCCCAAGCTCGGTCTGCATTATACTCGTTATGCCCAATTATCAAACATTCAACTCTCCATTGCATTTCTTATTCCCCTTGATTATATCTTTAGTGATATGTAATATACTGTTTCTTGACATCAACGTAGCTTATCGTATGGGCTCCGACAAGGGAGAGAGCAATTGAGCGAATGAAAAGGGCTCTCGATGACACCATTATTACAGGTGAGGACATTTTGGTGGGATTCTAACCTAAGTCTGACCTGATCTTTGCATTCGACGTGGCCAAAATATTACTTTTTACTGTTCAAAACGGCTTTGCTATTTAATCTTTTTCTTTTTTCATGTCTTGCATGTAATGTCTAGTTCCATAACTGAATTATCTACTTTTTCCTTGACTTTTATTTGTATAATCACTCATCTCTTTCCTTTACCTACCCCCTTCATTGTTTTTTAATTTAAACTTAGTTTGACAACCAAAGTTTTCTTCCTGGTGTTTTGGGAAATCCTACTAGTGGTAGTAGACTCTGTCACTCTTATTTGTTTGAGTTCTGAAATGATATTTCTTCTATTCTCAGGGGTGCCCACTACGATCGAATACCACAAACTTATCCTGGATGTTGAGGTAGGTAAAATTTGGTGTAATAGTTTTCCCGCTAATACTTAGCTGGTGTTATCAAATCTAACCAAGAACCTCTATTGTCTTGTTGGATATGTTACAGGACTTCAAAAACGGGAAAGTAGATACAGCCTTTATTCCTAAGCATGAGGAGGAATTGGCTCCTGTAAGACCTCGAATGATTTCTAATTTTTCCTGAGCATCCATCCCCACACCTACACCGATTGTTTTTAAGTTATAACCGTATATCTTTGAGAAAAAATGGAAATTGTGATTTCAGTTTTTGGAATTGTTGAATGTTGTGTATGGTTTGCCATTTATCACATTTTTACATTCCCTATAGAACTTCCAATCTTTACCCTATCACCGTAAATTTGTTACAACCTATACGACCTGAAGTTCATTTCTGGACTTAACTGCTTTTTCAATTACTTTCGTGGCCTTTATCACATGCATATAAAGTTAAAGTTAGACCTCTCTGATGTTTACCTCTGCATTACTAATAAGATGGAGTCTTTATCATCCTCCTTGATGTTTGTTCGTAATGATTGGCTTGTTTTTTCGCTGCAGCCTCAGGAAACCGCGCCTTCTAAACAGTTAGCTAAGATTGCTGCCTGATTTGAGGTTTTTTTTTTCCCCCTTAGTCTGGTCAAGCTAGTTTCCTTTGGCTTTACTGTTCAAGAACACTCCCTATAAAATGCTTTCTTGGTTAGTTTAGCTGCTGCCATTACTGCAGCAACAGCTTTGTGACTGGAGCAAGTATCATTTTTTGGTATAGGATTTCCTGATTCTCAAATCTGTTTCTTGTTTACCCGTAGTGGGTCATTGTTTACCTGGCTGGTAATTGTGATACATTACGAGTAGATGATATACTAGTCGGCAGCACCAGCTATGGAGCTTCATGTATGTTAGGGATCTTGTAATTTAGTCTGGATGGGGCGCCTTTCTTTGTATGTTGTCTTTTAAAGGTTACTCATAAGTTGTTTAGCTGTATTTCCTTGAAAAGAATTGTAATATTGAGCTGTGTGAGAAATGCAACGCGTCGACTCTGCATTTACAACAATCTTCCTGTCCATGAGAGCTTCCTTAAGCTTTAAAAATATCACATTGTGTGATTTGATTTGTTTTTTGGTTTAACAAATGGAAGTCCTTGAAACATTATACTAATACATCTGGCAGAGGATGAAAATGCTTTTGCAAGTCACCCGGACAAGTAATAAGAAGTCATAAATAGTCTCTTACAAAATTAAACTCAAGGTAATCTCGGTTCAAGGCAATCTCTGTAACTCGCGGCAGTTTTGTGAAAGCTTGCCTCTTCTTCTTCTTCTTCTTCTTTTTTTTTTTTTTTTTTCTCTCCTTTTTTCTTCAAATAGAAACAAGTGTCCAGTCTATCACACAATTACAGTATGAGGATAGGTTAATCATATTACATCAATGTTTAAAATATGATTTTTACTATAAACGGAGGCTTAGGAATACATTTTTATCCCCGATCAGTTCATATGATGATGCTGGTCTCTAACCTCTAAATCCCAAGCCTTTTCTTTCCTAGTGATATCAGTGATATCTACCTATTATATAAAAACGTTTTTTCATGTTTCAAGTTGGCAAGATGTCATATCACCACTGAACAGTTTACTAATCATTTACATATATACAGAACGTTTTCTGCATGTTTGGCACAAAATTATGAGCAAGTAAAATTTGAATTGGCAAATACTTATTAATTAGATGGTGTAAGTTTTTTATGTAAATTTTTAATTTAATCTTTTTATATTATTTTTTGTAACGCCGAGAACTTCACCAGAAATAGGTAAACCCACACCCACTGTAATAGCCTGCAAATAACAGTGGGAGGTAAACCACCCTAAGCAAGTCCGGAATGACAAGTTTGGGTGCGAAATCAGGGATTCATTAACAGGTTAAGCATCACAAGCCCTTAAAGGTGCCAATATGCAAGATGAGAGTCAACCCTTAATTTTTGTTGGAGTGGGGGATTAAACTCATAACCTATTCTTGGAGCAAAGGAGGTTTTACACTGAACCAACTCCTCATTCGCTCTTTTTACAATTTTAAAAAATAAATATATTTAACTAGATTTATATCTAAAATAACTGAATCGATATATTATAGTTTTTTAATTTTTTTTAAGAAAGAAACAGTTGGTTGGAATGAGGATTAAGACTGGATTTTTAATATTGTGATCCTGTCTTATTTTTACTTCTAATATATTAGGAGTCTTTTGAAAATCCTCATCTAAATAACTTAAATAATTTAAATTTTAAACAATAAAATTTTTTAACCGGTTCGGTTAAGATACTCGTTCTTTTTGAAGAGATCTAATCAACATCTGAACTCAACTTTTTTATTACCTCAACAAACTTGGCCGTGTTAAATTTCAGAATATTCAGAAGTAAACATCCCAAAACACTTGATACATTAATGTGCAGGTAAGCAACATTTTTTAGCCGAATTACCTTATTTTTATTGATGTAGTAGTAAAAAAAAAAAAAGGAAAGTCTTATTAGATAAAAGACGACTCAATTTTACCTATTTACAACCTTATATTAGTAATAATCTTATCCATTTATTATTATTTAGTAGTCTTATCCACTTTTTAACTTATACCTAGTTTGTTAAGAATGTTATTTATTTATAGTGGTAATTTAATGGTAATATTATATTTTTTTCCAAAAAATTATATATAGTTTATTAAAGGGTTCAAATTATTAACCATATATATTTTTAAGGATATGTGAATACAGTGTGTTAAAAAATCTTATAATTTTTTAACCTTTAAATGTATTTCTTAAATCTATACATAATATGTTTGTCAAATTAAATATAATCATATAACGATTTCTTTAAATTTAAATATAATTTTTTATGATAGTATTTACAATATTTGGTTTTTTTAACCAAGAAAAATGAAACCATACTCTTTAAAAAGAGATGTGAATATAGTCTGGTAAAGATAATCTTTTTTGTTTTTTCATATATAAATAAGTTTAGATAGTTTCTTAAGATAATCAGTTAACGGTTTCATAGATATAGCTATTTTTTAATAAATTTTTTAAGAATTTAATATTTTTTAAAAAACAAAACAATAAGTTAGTTTGTTAATCTATAGTCTTATCTAGATTTTTTTAATCTAGATATAGTTTATTAAGTTATCATTACAATTTTTTAACCTAAATAAAAAAATTACCATCTATTTTTAATGATATGTAAATATATTTTTGCTAAAAAAAAATAGATATAGTTTGTAAAAATAGTTTATTAAGAAAAACTGTTAAGAGTTTAATTACAAATCAAATTCTAAATGCTCTATATATACTACTTACCCGTGTGTTGCACATCGGGTGTTTAGATCTACTTCTATGAAGCGGTTCTAAGATATTAAGTACATAGACAATATTTAGATATTCATACAAATAACCACTCAATAAAAATGATATTTATTTGTGTAGAAAACAGTATCTGTGTAAAATTGATGCTACAATTTTACTAAGAAAATGACGAAGAAACAAAAAAAAAAAAAAGATGCTACCAAGTATAATCTTAGAAGAACAATCAACCTTTCTCTCTGGCAGGGACATTATGGACACTCTGGTACTTACTCAAGATCTATGTGTTTCTTGATAAAAAAACAAGAGGTGGAAATCTAATATTGAAAATTAACATGATGAAGGCCTTTGATTGAGTATCATGGAATTTTCTTAAAAATGTATTGGAGAAGTTCGGTTTTCATGGCAGATTTGTATCCTTGGTGATGAATAATCTTACATGGGGTTGGTTCTCAATTCTCATCAATGAAAGTCCAGCAGGTTATTTTCAAACTTCAAGAAGCGTTAAGCAAGTAGACCCGCTCTCTCGATATCTCTTTATTTTGGTCTCGGAAGCTCTAATAAAGGGACTTAAAGCTTATGTGGATTGTGGAAGAATTGCAAAATATAACATCTCATCTAGTTCGGTTGTGTCTTCACATCTTTATTTTGCGAATGACCTAATAATATTCACCAAGGGTTTAAAGAGATCAATGGAGAACATAAATGCTTTCTTTTCAGAATATGAGGCAGTTTCGAGTCAAAAAATGAACAAGCAAAAAAACTTCTTTTTAGCTTTAGAAAAAACCTCGCAGCCCCAAATTGAAACGGTCAATAGAAATCTTCAAATGCCGAGAGGAAATTTTCCTTTTTTCATGTCTTGGCTGCCATATTTTTCAGGGGAGGAAATGGTCAATTTATTTTCAGCACCTACTGGATTCCTTTGATACTCGATTGTTGAGTTGGAAGAATAAAATGTTATCCACCGGTAGGCCTTTAATTTTGATCCGGCATGTACTTTCAGCAATTCCTATGCACACTATAGCAGCAATTGAGCCTCCAAAGGAAGTCGTTAAGGAGCTGGAACGAAAATGTCAATCTTTTCTATGGGGAAGTTATGAGTACGTTGAGAAACGGCATTGGAAAGCTTGGAAATTTGTCACATTTCCTACTTCAGAAAACAGGATAGGAATTCGGAAATTGCAGGACAATGTGGACGCTTTTTCAGTAAAACTATGTTGGAAATGGAAGAACAACAAAGGCATTTCGGCGTGATTTATCCATTCTTTGTCGGATGCTTCAAAGCAACGAACAAGCTGGAATCGGGTGCTGAAATTTGATAGCTTTGCAAGTATACGGACAAAGATCATCTTAGCTAGAGGAAAGGTTTCATTCTAGTTCGATGCTTGGTTGGAAATTGGACAAATTTGGGCAACACATTGGTTGAGCAAACCACCTTTTGCGGATCTTCAAGTAAAGGAATTTTTTGAGCAAAATTTTTTTTATCTAACTGAATGTTCTAGTTTATTGCAGCTGCAGGTGTGTTTCCGATTTTGGAGAATATGCAACTCCAATTTTCAGAAGAGTAGTGTAGGTACAATAAAAAAATGACAACGAAAAATAATAAGGAATGATGTGACAAGATCTTAATTATACCCTAACCTTAAATGCATAAATCATGTTTGGAAAGTTTTAATAATGGATGAATGAGATCATTTCCTTGTCATTTTTTCCCAGTACCAATCATTTATTCTTTTAAAAAGGAGAAGATAGGCGAATTTGGAAGCCATCCATTGATGGAGAGTTTAAATTATCAACTGTATATTTGGAAATTCGGAAAAAAAGGCAAAGTGTGCCGATAATGGAGAATTTGTGGAACAAATTTATCCCCATCAAAGTTTCATTTTTCTTATGGAAATTGCATAATAATCTTGTTCCTTTTCCTGAGGTTATGCAGAAAATGGGGTTCAAGTTACATCGTTCTTATTGTCCTTGTTTTAAAGAGGCCGAAGACAGTATAGTTCACGTGTTCATGGACTGTCCGCAAATCCGGAAGGTTTGGAATATTTTTGCTTCTTCGCTTGGTTTTTTGTGCTCTTTTCATGCAGGTTTGGAAAAGCCGGGCATAACAAATCAGTGAAACATGTTGCTATAAGAATATTGTCGGCTTTCATTTTATGGGAGATTTGGAAAAGCCGAAATAAATGTATTATTGAAGGTGCGAGTTTCTCTTCGAATTTTATTATTCAAGAAGTCCAGTCCAGTTTGGCAAGGGTTATATATGTTCAAAACTTACGAGCTAGATCCATGCTTGAGAGAAGGAAGTGGAAAGCATTTTTAGAGTTACAATTTTGGGGCCAAAATCTAAGAATGTCATATCATTATGTTGAAAACTACCAGAATGTGGAGTTTTTTTTGAATTCCGATGGCTCCGCAATAGGAGCTCCAGGAGAGGCAGGTTGAGGTTATATGGTACGGGGAGAGCAAGGACGTTTCATTAAAGCAGCATTCAAATATATTGGTGAGAGTTAAAAAGGAATTGGCAAACCGTGAAAAATCTTTCATCCAGTTCAACCCAACTGTTTACAAAGTGAACCCCCTTTTTGTTAACGAAGGAAGAAGATAGTAAATTGGCGGGACTATTCAAACTTGCGCTCATAGGAAAATTTTCTAAGGGAAGGCCGTCAATGGAATATTTGTGGACTCAGTTTCAAAAAACTAGGGTTTAAAGGAGATTTTTCATTAGGAATGCTCGACCATAAGCATATATTGATTTGTTTTGATCAAGATTTCAT